AGGACGTTAAACATTCAGTATCGCATATATTATTATCGCCCCTGAAACTCTACCGACTCCTTCAACGCTATAATGAACATTTATTTATTATTGTCCTGCAGTACATATTCATACTCTGTTTATGACATCCTCACACTAATTCATTGGACGGGGATACTGATCAATATTTTGTCTTGAAAAGATAATGTTTGACTCTCCTGAAGGATAGGCATAGGTGTTACTTTTCCGGCGGCGGAATTGTTAAGTTTTCTGCTTGAATCAGTTTGATAGGAACTACTTGTGATAGATTAATGATATTTTCCCTAAAGTTCCATTACTATTAGAACATATCATTTTGACGACTATATTGAGGCCCTATCATCGTAGGTCATGGTTCAGTGACTTTAAATTGATTCTCTATTTTCAATGTTAAGTTTTCTGCTTAAGTTAGTATGATAGGAACTACTTATGATAGATTAAAGATTTTTTCTATAAAATTGCAATACTATCAGTTCATCCCTGTTTGTTGACCATTTAGATGATCTGCCCCTAGTTCATGGTCCAGCAACTTTGAAATAATTAGCATATGTTGCTGTCCATTAGACTGTTTCAAGTCAGTTCTGTTATTTGCTATATATGATATTTGTTTTTCGTTTATTGTCTTGCCGAACGTTTTCTCATTTGAATCATTTTACATTTGCAATGTCGAGACCTATTGTTGATAACCTCATTTAGTCTGTTGTGTTAATTATCTCATTGGTAATCATACCACATCTTCCTCTTTTATAATAAAATAACATGCTACGGTACGTTTTTTCTTGCTTTTGGGATTTTCCTAACGAAGAAGCAGTGTATTTCATGAAATGTATCTTTGCAAAAATAGGAAAAAAGGTACCACAGAGTTAATAAAAAGGTCTGGAAAACAGAAAAGACAATTACCACACAAATCAAACCGAAATAACAAACAACAATAATTAAACATAACATAGCAAATCCCTTGTCTAGAGCCTGGAATAGTTTTGGGCATCTAAATCTATCAAAATAGTAAATTATAGTTCTACCCTAGAAAATTTTGAATAGTTCTACCCAAGAAACGATTATGATAGTTTTATATTATAACAGTTTTGGGCAGTTTCAGCTTGGAACAGTTTTAGACAGTTCTATTCTAGGAAAGATTCGGAACGTTTTATCCTAGATGTGATTCTGACAGTTCTACTCTAGAAAAATTGTAGGTTAAGACTGTTATACGGTGTATGTTGACCTTTAAAGAATAGCTGTTTTACAGACGACGGATATGTTCCAATTGTCGTAACCACAATCCCGTCAGTTTTTCCTCGAATCTGATATAAAGATAAGACCGGGTTTGTACTTAAATGATCAACACGATGGATGCCACATGTCGAGTAGGATCTGCTTACCCTTCTGGAGCATCTGATATTACCCCAGGTTTTTGTTGTGGTTTTTGTTGCTCAGTCTTAAGTGTTCTGTGTTGTTTTTTGTATACTGTTGTTAATCTTTTTGCCGCCTTAACATTGTCAGTTTTCGATATTACGATTATCAGGATTACGATATTTAGGGTCTTTGGATAACATAATTTACAAAGAACTAAGGGAATAACACTGATTTACGTTCTTAATTTAAACTTCAAAACGTAAGTAGTTAAAATTGATAAAGTAAGACCTTATATGCCTAGAAGGCTATGCACTAGTGTGCGCTTAAAGGAGCTATTGAACTATTTTAAAGAATATCTATGGTTGACGACATTCTACCACACCACATTTAGTCGAACTGTTTTTTGCAGAAAGGAATCATCTGAAAAGTTACATCATTAAATGCCTGATTGGAGGATAAGTTGATGAACATTGTAACCAACATAGGAACATGTTGACATGCACCTTAATTTAATAACTTAGTAATATTCAAATAAAAGAATCCATAATAAAGTATGTTTTTATATTTTTTTCTCAACTTTTTAACTCATAATACTTCTATTTTCATCAATTCAAGACGCTTTCTTCTGTGCATTCATGCATGTTTGATTACAAGTTGTATTTCTTAAGTTATTGATCAACATTCAGAAAACTGGCAAAGTATCAAAATCAATTTCAAATAAACCGAAGTTAAGACATATCATTCAAAATAGAAACCACGCTAATTGAAATTCGATGTTGTTGGTTCGAAAAAAAAAAGAAAACCATTAACCCCCAAAACTAGACCATGACGGTCCTTATTGAAATGTTCATGAAAAAACGAAATAAAATATACTGGTAGATTGAAATATCTTACTATCATTGTTGAGTTTCAAAGTTGTTGAAATTATCAAACTGTAAAACCTTACCTTTCATCATTCTCCAAGTTGACAATTAGATATGAACAGACTAGAAAGGGAAGATGTTACACAGTTGCCTACCTTGTAGTGACGATTTCCATTCAGACTTCAAAAATAGTTTAGATTTACGAACGAGTTTTAATATGTTTCACTTACAAGTATCTAAATATAGATGCTATTTAAAATACATAATTTATACATTTTATGAAGCATGTATGAAAGATCAATACTATTTGAATATTTTTCTAAAGTACGATTATATTAGTAGTAATATCAGTATTGTCAACAACAGGAACAAGACTATAGTATATTGTATCATAAAGCATAGATTAAAGTTTCGTTGATCAAAATAAATCTTCAAATTGAATTAATTTTATTTTTTTATTTTTTTAAAAAGATATTTTCATCATTGTGTATTCTTTTTCCTCATGGTTCTATTGAATATTAAGGCAAACAGTCTTTTCATTATTTAAACCAATCTGTGTATTTAGAAATTTTAAAAACACAGTATCCGTACTTTCATTGTAACCGTGAAACAGTAAAACAGAATAGTATTTCCTTATTATCATCACAAGCAAACACACAACTTATTTCGATTATATCATCAAAATATCAACTAATTTGTTGTAAAGGGAATATAGTTTTAAACAAGATTTGCAAAATTATTTGTTGATTCGACCGAATGGTTCCTAAATCCTCTTTCGGAATTGCCAGAATCGTTACTGGGGACTTGTAGCAATCCATGCCGTTCCGCATATTCACACATACAAACTGCACGCGAGGTATGCCTGTTAGAGTCACTGTTTTCCAATTTTTGTTCAAGAAAATCTTGAACAAAATCAACAGACATTCTGATCAGAAGATATCTTGCTTTCATCTGAAAGAGAAAGTTTTAATTATAATTACTTTCTGAAAAATTATGTGAAAGCTGGATTAAGCATGACAAAAAGAATTAAAAGTCCAGTGAACAATTGAAGGTCTTTCCTTCTGAAATGTTGATAATTAAAAAAGGTTTAAAACACTGTTATACGAAAAAAAACCTTCATAAACATAAAAAGGTAGACTTTGTATAAAAAGGTGACAAAATATAAATGTGCTTGTACAGATTCCAAAAACATATTGTTTAAAAATGAGGAGGTGTGGTATGATTGCCAAAGAGACTGCTATCCATCAGAGTTAAAAGATAGGAGTAAAAACAATTATAGGCCACCGTACGGTCTCCAACAATGAGAAAAACCGATACCGTGTAGTCGGCTATACAAGGCCCCTACATGAAAAATATCAAACAATTTAAATAAAATAACTAACAGCCTAATATATTACAAAACAATTTACGAAAAGAAAAACAAATATGACAGATATGAACCAACGTGGTTGTACTTCAGGCTCCTTACTTGCGACAGGCATATACACAATGTGGCGGAGTTTAACATGATTGTGAGTGTTCAATCCTCCCACTAACCTTGGACAGTGGTGTAACAGCACAACATAAGATTAAACTGTAAAAATCAGTTGCTATTGGCCTAACTCAAAATATTGTATTTTTTTCTCTGAAAAAAGGAGATGATTAGCTACTTCACGTTTCAAAAATATAGTTCCTTTATGCTTTGCTAGAGACAAAGGAGATAATTTGATTCTTTCAATCTACAAAAATTTCCAGTTCATATGATAACCAAATTCTCACTGATTCACAAAATATATGGTTTATATGTATTTCCTTTGAAATAAGGGAGATGATTGGCTTCCTTCACTTTACAACATGAAATTACCTTTGAAGTATGATAGCTTACATTACACTGATTCGAAAATTATATGGTTTCTATGTAGTATTGATGTATATAAGGGAGATAATTCCCTACTTCCGTTTTTAAATATCACTTTTGGTTCATTGTCACAGGGTGACTTTGTTTACTCACATATATGTTGTTATTTTGGTTGTTAATTCTATTTCGATTTGCAGAACGTCAGTATCTTATAAATGCTATATTCTGCAGACTTCGGTGTATAATACATGTCCACATTTTACATCTAATTAATTAAGTAGTGTCCACTATTTACTTGGGCATTTACCTGTAAACTTGTCGAACGGGTTGAGTAACAGTGATACCTGTATTTGATGAGCTGACTATTCACTCTCAGGTAACACCTTAACGAGTCAAGGTGTGGTCAGAAATGTTTGTATAAAGTTAGTTTACAATGTGGCGTGGACACACAAACTGGATTTCTGAGGTAGGATTCAATTTATTCTTATTTATTTAATCATTATTCGTTCTAAAGTGTTCAGTTTTCTGCAACAACGCAAATATAGAATAATTATTTCAATTGTAATTGTAATTTTTGACATTGCTATTTTATAAATGTAATAAGTTAATTAATGTTCATTATAATGAAAGTTTAACACGGTTATATGTTTCCGGCTGTAGTAAATATTCGAGTATCGAAATTGTTTGGTATTTTAGGAACGTTTGCGTACGATAATGCAATGATGTATGTATCTCCATAAGTATGTAAAGTAATATGCAACGTATAAGCATAAATGTATATTCAGCGTTAAAAGCTGTATATTGTGTGTAGTAATTGTATAATGATAGTATACAATAAAGTCAATTATGTGACTTGTAAAGTAAGGCATTGTACGATATGCCGTAGTTTGTATTGTGTAAAGTAAGGCATTATACGATATGCAGTAATTATTTGTGTATAAGTAATGCATTATTCAATATGCTATAATCTTCTATAGATTGAACATAAGTAGTCGTACTAAGTATTTGTCATTATTTATGCGACATGTGTAATACATAAACATATGTATATTTCTTAAGTATAGTATTGTATCTTAACGTACAGTATGTATTTCAATAGGTCCCAGTTTGCGGGCTAGGTGTATGTAGTTTTGTATAGTAAAGTATGGAGATATAGTACAGATGGTGGTGAAACCTGTTGACAGTGCGGCGTTCCGTGTTTATCATCAATAGTTTGGCAACATAGAATATTTGGAGTCGAGTCTAGACAATAGGGCAGCCGTAATGTGTACACCGCTTATGTTGGGCCAGTTTTGTGTAGTTACCGAAAACCAAATACGTAAAATTCCGTAGTATCGTTTATCCAGATTTCATAGTTTAATATAAAGAAGAAGGAACAGTTCATTAATCATTTGACAGTATTATTTCATTTGATTTCATCTATTTATATTTGTAAATTTGTACCTAATTAAATTGTTATTTTGTTTAAAGTAGTAGTCATTTATTATCTGTAAGTACAAACTCCTAAGTCAGCTCTCGTCTATCCGTGACAATTGGTGTCAGAAGTGGGATTTGTTTAAAAGGCTTAGAGAGTTTTCATTAAATTTAAATTTTCAATCTTATGTATTTTTGATTGTATTTTTTTTTTTTTCACCATGTATTTTTCCATTTGTATTGTTTTATTATATGTTTGAATTGTATAGCTTCAGGTGTTTGTGAGGAGAACTGAATATTTGGGACCCAGATTTCACAGTTGTGTCTATGTTGGTTCGTGCCTTGGAGGTTTGGTGTTGTTTCTGCTCTACATTGTAAACTGTGAGTATCGGTACTTACATATATTTAGTAATTGATTGTAGTACACTGAGGGTTGCAGTAGGTACATTGAGTGCTGGCGTTTTGTTTTTTGAAATTGGTGTTTGGTTTGTTGACTGTTCAAGATGGAACAGATTCAACAGATTAGAGATTTGGGTGCTTCATTAGGGTATGAAGATGATGAGTTGAGAAGGTTTGTTAAAGATCAGCAGGATAGGGTCCGAGATGAAAGGGTTGCTTTAAGGCAAGAACAGAAAGACGAACGAGATAGAAAAGCAGCTATAGAAAAAGTTTTGATTGAGAAAGCTAAGGTTGAGAATGAATTGGAACTACAAAAGTTGACGCATAGTCAGAAAATGGAAGAGTTAAGTAAACAAGCTGAGTTACCACAATTAGTAAGTACAGGGGGGTCACATGATACAGTTCGTGGACCTAAAATTCCAGCTTTTGAAGAAGGTAAGGATGAGATAGATAGTTATCTTAGGAGATTTGAGCGTTATGCTACTGCTCAAAAGTGGAAACCTGATATTTGGGCCACTCATCTTAGTGCGTTATTGAAGGGCAAGGCTCTTGATGTATATGCACTTATGCCGGTTGATAAAGCTCTTGATTATCCAGCTTTGAAAGATGCTCTACTAAAAAGGTATGATATGACTGAAGAAGGATTTAAACGTAGATTTAGAAGTTGTAGACCAGAGCCAGGTGAGACTTTTATACAGTTTTCTGTTAGGTTAGATAGCTATTTTAAGCGTTGGATTGATATGGCACATACAGATACTACTTATATAAGTTTGTATGACTTGATTATACGGGATCAGTTTCTACATATATGTTCGAAGGACTTGTCTTTGGTTTTAAAAGAGAGAATACCAGATTCTTTAGAGAAAATGGTAGCTTTAGCTGATCAGTATCGTGAGGCAAGACAAACAAGTGCTTCCAATCTTATAGATAAAGGTAATCAGTCAAACACATATTCAGTAAGAAACCAAAGTGGTTCGAAACCAGTTGATTATAGTACAAAGAAAGAACAGAGAAGTATAAAACCAACAGAACGTACTTCATTTGTACCTAATAGGGACAGAAAGTGCTTTAGGTGTGGTAAGAATGGACATATTGCAACGGATTGTAGAGTTAATCTACAAAAGACCAACAGTGGATCGTCAGACGATAGAAAGAATTTTAAAGGTAAAGTATGTAATACCTGTACTATACCTACAGATTCTATAGTAGATGCTATTCCTACTGGTTGTACAAGTACACTTCCGTTGTCTTGTCAGTCAACCGCAAATGTAAGTATGCCTGTAAGTTCAGGTTATGTTGATGGTAAACCAGTCACGGTTTTACGAGATACTGGTTGCAGTGGTATTGTGGTTAAACGTGATATGGTTGGCAATGAGTCATTAACGGGTGGAAAACAGGTATGTATTTTGGCAGATGGAACCAGAGTTGAAGTGCCAATAGCTAGAATTGATATAGATACACCATATTTACAGGGAGAATTTGAAGGATGGTGTATGGCTAATCCTGTGTATGACTTGATAATTGGTAATGTAGAGGACGCTAGAGAACCAGGAAAGCCTGATCCTTTGTGGCAACAAACGGGAGCTGTTGAGACAAGAGAACAGGTAAGAAACAAAAGTAAGCCGTTTGTGCAACTGAAGGTAAAAGATATCATCACAGATGAGGTAAATCCAAATGTAATCAAGAAAGCTCAACTAGAAGATACAACGTTGGATAAAATAAGAAGGTATGTATTAACGGGTGATACAGTTACACGGAAGAATGGAAAAGTAAAGTGGATTTTAAAAAGAGGTATGATATACAGACAGTTTTCGTCGTCAAAACCTGATAGGGTAAGTTGTACTCAGTTAGTAGTTCCGAAGTTTCATCGCGAGACAGTGACGAGAGTAGCACATGAGTCGATTATGTCAGGTCACATGGGTACACAGCGTAAACTTGATAGAGTATTATCAGCTTTTTATTGGCCAGGTGTTTCGGCGGATGTTAAGCGATTTTGTCAGTCTTGTGACATATGCCAGCGTACAGTTCCTAAAGGAAAAATAGGTAAGGTACCTTTACAGTATATGCCGTTGATAGATGAGCCGTTTAAACGCGTAGCAGTTGATCTCATTGGACCTCTTTTTCCTAGAACAGACAGAGGTAGTAGATATATACTGACTTTGGTAGATTATGCTACACGTTATCCTGAAGCAATAGCTTTGAAGGATATTGAGACAGAGAGTGTTGCTGAGGCATTAGTAGATATATTTTCTAGAGTAGGAGTTCCACAGGAAATGTTAACTGATATGGGAAGTCAGTTTACATCTAAGCTTATGGCTGAGGTAAGTAGACTCATATCGCTTAGACAGTTAACTACAACTGTTTATCATCCTATGTGTAATGGGTTAGTAGAGAGGTTCAATGGAAGTCTAAAACTGATGTTGAAGAGAATGTGTCATGAACGACCTAAAGATTGGGACAGGTATGTAAATGCATTACTGTTTGTATACAGGGAAGTTCCACAGGAGAGTCTGAAGTTTTCGCCATTTGAGCTCGTGTATGGTAAACAGGTGAGGGGACCTATGGCAATATTAAAGGAGCTATGGACTAAAGAGATAGACGATCCTGAGGTAAAGTCTACATATCAGTACGTGATAGATTTAAGAGAGAGATTAGAAGCTACCTGTGAGCTTGCTCGAAGTAATTTGGCGTCTGCATCAAAGAAGAATAAGGTATATTATGATAAATCGACCAAGCAAAGACATATGAAGGTAGGTGAAAAGGTTCTTGTGCTCTTACCTACGGATAAGAATAAACTGTTGATGCAGTGGAAAGGTCCTTTTACTATTACTGAGAAATTTGGTAAGGTAGACTACAGAATACAGATGAATGGGAAGATTAAAACGTTCCATGCAAACTTATTGAAAAGGTATGTGGAAAGGTGTGACGTAGATGATGATTTAACAGTGGTAAGTTCTGCAGTGATAGATACTGATAGTGACCAAGTGGATGTTTATGATGAGATTCATGAAATACCTTTTACTGATTCAGGTGAGAATGCTAGTCATATTGATGTTAATCCAGACTTGGATGAAAATCAGATATTACAGGTAAAGGAATTGCTGTTTTCATTTCCTGAAGTCTTTACTGATTCTCCAGGATGTACCGATCTTCTGGAGCATGACATTAAATTGTCCAGTGAAACGCCTATAAGGATGAAACCGTATCCTATTCCATATAGTATGTTAGACACAGTAAATGCTGAGGTTAGTAAAATGTTAGACCTTGGAGTTATAGAAGCATCTACGAGTCCTTATGCGTCACCGATCGTCATTGTTAAGAAGAAGGACAATACAAACCGATTTTGTATTGATTTTAGGTCGTTAAATAGCCAGACTTTGTTTGACGCTGAACCGATGGGGAATGCAGAAGAGATGTTTTCTAAGTTAGCAGGACATAAGTACTTTTCACGAATCGATTTATCAAAAGGATATTGGCAGTTACCGTTATCAGAGGATGCCAAACCGAAAACCGCTTTTCAAACACCTAAAGGTTTGTTTCAGTTTCGTAGAATGCCGTTTGGACTGGTTACTGCGCCAGCTTCTTTTTGCAGATTAATGAGAATATTGTTAAAAGGTATGGAGAATATAGATAATTTCATAGATGATATAATCATCTTCACCTTGACATTTGAGCAACATTTAGAGGTACTGTATGAACTTTTGGTCAGACTTAAAGGGGCAAATCTTACAGCTAGACCTAGTAAGTGTTCCATAGGTTATGGTAGTCTAGAGTGTTTGGGTCATTTTGTCGGTGATGACAAACTTAAACCTCATCCAGACAAGGTTAAAGCGATAGAAGAAGCTCCACGACCAGTTACAAAGAAACAGGTAAGGTCTTTTCTTGGATTAGTTGGGTTTTACAGGAAGTTTATTCCAAACTTCTCCTGTATTGCACTTCCACTTACTGATCTGACGAAGAAAGGACAGCCTAGTACTGTTGTTTGGGAAAATGCACAGGAGAATGCATTTCAGTCTTTAAGGTGTGCTTTAGTTAGGTTTCCTATATTGAAATTACCAGATTTCACTCAGATTTTTGTTCTGATGACTGATGCATCAGATAGAGGGATTGGGGCAGTACTGATGCAGTATCAAGAGAACTCCAAGATGCCTATTGCATATGCAAGTAGGAAACTTAAGAAGAGTGAAGTGGCTTATTCCACTATTGAAAAAGAGTGTTTAGCCATCGTTTGGGCTGTGCAGAAATTTCAGAGGTATTTATACGGTAGAGAATTTATACTTGAGACTGACCACCAGCCACTTACTTATCTTAATAAGAAGAAAGTAGAGAATGCTAGACTTATGAGGTGGGCATTAGCTCTACAGCCTTACAGATTTAGAATTGTAGCAGTTAAAGGTATAGATAATGTGGGTGCAGATTATCTCAGTAGAGTTTAGGATGTAAATATTACAGTGTTTTGTTTTATAATGAATAGTAAGTAGTGAAGATTTGATAGTGTTAGTTTTATTTTGTTGAACAGTCTAAATATCACAGGACTAGATTTGAAATGGTGACAAACCGTGATGTTGTGGGCAGGATATGTCGTGACATAACACTTTGAATAGGTTTAAGTTATGAGGCGACAAGACCTGATAATGATCCTTATTCATCTTTTAGGTGAGTATATGTCGATTTGTTGTAAGGGTCGGTTGGTATTTTATTTGGACCTGGTCAAGAGTCGAATACTTTCCGGTAGTGTCGTTAGTATGATTAGTTTGTCTTTTGATTTGGACTAGTTTATTTGCATTGATGGGTTTTTGTATGTAAATCTATTTCTGTTTATATATATTTTTTATTATCAGTACTTCGTACTTCTTTTTGTGGGGAGGAACTGTCACAGGGTGACTTTGTTTACTCACATATATGTTGTTATTTTGGTTGTTAATTCTATTTCGATTTGCAGAACGTCAGTATCTTATAAATGCTATATTCTGCAGACTTCGGTGTATAATACATGTCCACATTTTACATCTAATTAATTAAGTAGTGTCCACTATTTACTTGGGCATTTACCTGTAAACTTGTCGAACGGGTTGAGTAACAGTGATACCTGTATTTGATGAGCTGACTATTCACTCTCAGGTAACACCTTAACGAGTCAAGGTGTGGTCAGAAATGTTTGTATAAAGTTAGTTTACAATGTGGCGTGGACACACACACTGGATTTCTGAGGTAGGATTCAATTTATTCTTATTTATTTAATCATTATTCGTTCTAAAGTGTTCAGTTTTCTGCAACAACGCAAATATAGAATAATTATTTCAATTGTAATTGTAATTTTTGACATTGCTATTTTATAAATGTAATAAGTTAATTAATGTTCATTATAATGAAAGTTTAACACGGTTATATGTTTCCGGCTGAAGTAAATATTCGAGTATCGAAATTGTTTGGTATTTTAGGAACGTTTGCGTACGATAATGCAATGATGTATGTATCTCCATAAGTATGTATAGGTTACAATACACCATTAGATTTTATGGGCGCAGCCATTTTATGAGCATAACATGGTATTCAGAATTAAGAGTATAGCTAATCCTGATTGGTTGATATGTGCGCCCGTTATTTTTTGTAATTAGAGACTTCGTGCATTCTGCATTATACCAAAGGCCAAATAAATTATTTTCCTTAGCCCTAACGGAACTGAGATGTCTTTTAAACGCTAGGATGAGACACGTATTTTTAAGTGCAAAATTGATAGGCATGGGAGATAAGTACAAATTACGCTAAGAAAAGCAACGCGAACCTATATTTTTTGGACCAAAAAATACTGTCCTAATAACTTTTCTTTAATTCTAGCAAGGTTTCGTTAAAAAAATCAGCTTTCTAAAGTCTGTATCTCGAAAAAGGCTATCATTGTCGCCTATGGGGAAATTAATTGTTTATTATAATCTATACAGCGTCGACATTTCTTTATCATAGTGCTCAAAAAGTGTCAAAAACAGTAATTTTACTTGATATTTGATGTGAAACCGTATTTTTTGGTGACAAATGAATTATTGATTAACTAGTTTTTAAGCTATAGTCTGTTTCATATTTGTATAGCGTTTTACCTTAGAAACAAGGGTGTGTTCGACTTTTGACTTACTGTGGAGAGAATATGTCATTTTCTGAACTTCTGCTGATTTGTTTGTAAAAAGCACATACACGTCTAGAGTTTGGATATACAAATCGATTTTTAAACATGACAATCTCGATCCAAGTGCTGTTATCGAAATTACCAAATTCAGTGAAAATGTACAGAAACGATCCCCTTCGAACATTGAAATGTTCACTCGAATGGCAGACTATAAAAATTAGAATAGGCATGACATTTCGTTGTTAACGAATAGTTTTCGATGTTTCAACACAAATATTTACACATTTTTCATATTTTGTAATGCTATAGTCTGTTTCAAAAATGTACTTTTATACGAAAATGGTTTCATTTAAAACTGTTGTTCAAAATTCACCGTAGTAGTTACATATTGGATCGGTTTTGGTATCAATATAATCAGTACTTGATGACATATAAAGAATCATTGGAGAAAGTGGACATTATCTTCAGGCCCTTTTTAGCAGTACCGCATTTACTAAAAAAATCAGAAATTTTTTTTTCACATTTTTTGACTGGGGTTACCTCTGATAAAAAATTGTGAAAATTCAGAGAGTAATGCCAGAACGTTTTGAAGATGATTTTTGTGTGGCATATATATTTATGCATCTAACGAACTATGAATTGCATGATTCTAGAAAGTATTAAATAGCGTATAGGTTACAATACACCATTAGATTTTATGGGCGCAGCCATTTTATGAGCATAACATGGTATTCAGAATTAAGAGTATAGCTAATCCTGATTGGTTGATATGTGCGCCCGTTATTTTTTGTAATTAGAGACTTCGTGCATTCTGCATTATACCAAAGGCCAAATAAATTATTTTCCTTAGCCCTAACGGAACTGAGATGTCTTTTAAACGCTAGGATGAGACACGTATTTTTAAGTGCAAAATTGATAGGCATGGGAGATAAGTACAAATTACGCTAAGAAAAGCAACGCGAACCTATATTTTTTGGACCAAAAAATACTGTCCTAATAACTTTTCTTTAATTCTAGCAAGGTTTCGTTAAAAAAATCAGCTTTCTAAAGTCTGTATCTCGAAAAAGGCTATCATTGTCGCCTATGGGGAAATTAATTGTTTATTATAATCTATAGTAATATGCAACGTATAAGCATAAATGTATATTCAGCGTTAAAAGCTGTATATTGTGTGTAGTAATTGTATAATGATAGTATACAATAAAGTCAATTATGTGACTTGTAAAGTAAGGCATTGTACGATATGCCGTAGTTTGTATTGTGTAAAGTAAGGCATTATACGATATGCCGTAATTATTTGTGTATAAGTAAAGCATTATTCAATATGCTATAATCTTCTATAGATTGAACATAAGTAGTCGTAATAAGTATTTGTCATTATTTATGCGACATGTGTAATACATAAACATATGTATATTTCTTAAGTATAGTATTGTATCTTAACGTACAGTATGTATTTCAATAGGTCCCAGTTTGCGGGCTAGGTGTATGTAGTTTTGTATAGTAAAGTATGGAGATATAGTACAGATGGTGGTGAAACCTGTTGACAGTGCGGCGTTCCGTGTTTATCATCAATAGTTTGGCAACATAGAATATTTGGAGTCGAGTCTAGACAATAGGGCAGCCGTAATGTGTACACCGCTTATGTTGGGCCAGTTTTGTGTAGTTACCGAAAACCAAATACGTAAAATTCCGTAGTATCGTTTTTCCAGATTTCATAGTTTAATATAAAGAAGAAGGAACAGTTCATTAATCATTTGACAGTATTATTTCATTTGATTTCATCTATTTATATTTGTAAATTTGTACCTAATTAAATTGTTATTTTGTTTAAAGTAGTAGTCATTTATTATATGTAAGTACAAACTCCTAAGTCAGCTCTCGTCTATCCGTGACATTCATATGATAAGCTTACGTCACATTGATTTTAAATATTATGGTTTCTAGGTACTTTAACATGAAATACGTGCAAACAATGCTACTTCCTGTTTAAACAATGTCACTTCCAGTTGTGTGTTTCGAGTTGTATGTTGTCGAACCTGATTGCATAGCTATATCATGTACAAGTATGAGTATATAGCAAAGGCTAAAAATATAGGACGTCAAATTAACCTATGACCTTGACCTCAATTTTAAGGTCAAAGGTCAACGATATTCAATGAAAAGACCCCAAATCTCAAATAATTATGACTCAGTTATTCTTCCGAACAACTTATTTCCAATATTTAAGGGGAGAAAACTCCAATTAGAAGTCACCAGAGCAATTCGACCTTCATGTATTAATACAAAAATAAGGAGATGTGGTATGATTGCCAATGAGACAACTGTTCACCAAAGTTCAAATGAAGTGGATGTAAGCAATTACAGGCAACCGTATGACCTTCAACAATGAGAAAAACCCCATAGCGTATAGTCAGCTATAAAAGGCCCCGACATGACAAATATGAAACAATTCAATAGAGAAAACTAACGGCCTAATTCATAACAAAACAATTTACGAAAAACAAATATGACAGACATGAACCAACGACAACCACTGAACCACAGGTTCCTGACTTGGGACATGCACATAAAGAATGTGGCGGGGTTAAACATGTTTGTAAGGGCTCAACCCGCCTCCCAACCTGGGACAGTGGTGTAACAGCACAACATAAGAACAAACTATAAAAAGCAGTTGAAAAAGGCTTAACTCATCAGATCGATACAAAGAAAAACATCAAACAAAAACACAGACCGGACGTGGCAGAGTATTTATCCATCCCTCATCCCTAACAACAACAAAGACACTAAGTACAGATCTGAGAGTCTCGCAGTAACTGATAGCTAGTTCAAAGCCAATAACAACTAATAAAAAAATCATGAATCTAAGACTAAATATCAACGTTGCCTCAATTTGTAACTTACAGTTCGACAAAAGAAAAAAAAAAAAACAATATGTCGATAACTTTTACGGTTTTCTGAGATGATACGATAACAAGCAAAGTTCAGAGTTTAGATCATGACTGTTGGCCTTGAACTCAATTTCTAGCTTTTGTCCCAAGGACCTCATATTAGACGACTCTAAGTCTCTATGACTCAAGGTAACTGAGTTACATTGATATACCATTTATGTCGAACACAAAAAGGAAAATAACTTTTATTACATGTAACCGGATCGCTTCGGTCCAAATAGAGCAAATCATCCTGAGGAAGTATCAAACAATTTTGGGGGAAATTTTAAACGATATCTTTTATAGTTTTTGCGGATAAGCGATATCAAGAAAACATTATAAGGGGAGATAATTCTCATATGAAATAGTGTTCGGTTAAAAGGGTGAGTTTCAAAAGCGCAATAACTGTTCGACATTCATCTTCCAAAATATTATAGATATGTTGCGAAATACAAGCCACATGCAAAAACAAAAGTGGCGGAAGAAAAAAAGATTGAGAACGAAATCAAAAGGTCTTTCCACGGAAAGGTGGAAATTCATAATTACAACAATAATAGATGTTAATCCAACCAATTCGTAATTTCCAACCAGAGAAACTACACGCATAATAGTAAAATATTTTTTTTACAAAATGTCACTGAAAAATACTTACTTTTATAGGTTTTATGGGGTTATAACAGCCAATGTTAACCCATTCGTAATTCCTCTTCTCAACACTATCTTACTTTTTAAGTCAATGCACTATAGACTAAAGACGACTTACTTTGTAAAAATATATTTACATTAATTAACGTAACTTACTCGATCATTCTCTTTGATGTGATTAGTAATATCCTCGTTTTCTAGAGACAAAATGATTGCTTCATCGTTAGAATTGTTAACTGTGCTATTAGACGTATATTTATTTTGAATACAGCGTTCATCATCATTTTGACTAGAGTCAACATTGTTTTTTTGGAGACACTGTTCCAAGTAATCCTAAAATACATAACAAATTATTATGTAAACCGTGTACCTTTTGTTAGATTTATAAATTATACCAAAGTATTCTCAACCTGAAGGCACTTGAAAGTAGGAAGTTAAAGAAATTCATGATATTGTTTTAGTAATATCTACTTCTTTTGTGTCAAATAGACTCATATAATGTCCCTGTATTTGATTGTATATAGACAAACATACAGTTTTCAAAAGTATTTATTCTTAGAAAGTTTTGTATTTCTAATTGGTGTTTTACCCACAAATTGTTTAGTAAAACATGTTTAATTTTATGAGAAAAAAAAAAGAATGATAAACACGGGGAATTGCAAATATGCTACTTGCATTATTTTAGTTAATTCATAACTATTTTTCATAAGATATACAAAGGTTCGTTGGAATCTATTAGAATAATAATGATTGACATGAACCCTCAAAGCAGTATTCAAAACCCAACAATTAATATCTTTTATAAAAAGAACGCAAAATCCTTTCCACACGGACAACGACATATATGTTCCATTGTCTGAATACATAAAAAAGAACCGACTTAAAATTCAAAGGACCATACAGGATCCCTCCATTCAAAATGTGTTTCTTTAACAAATGGTAATTTTCCTGAAAAATTAAAGACAGTCATAATCCTTCCATGATGCTGATCTCCAGTGTTCGTTTATGTAACACTGTTCTACAAAATAAATTTAAAAACAAATCATCTTTGTTAACACTTATAAAAGTTTAACAGACAGACCATGAAACTTATATGGGACATTTCCCCAAACTGACAAAGTTCACCGACTGGTAATATTACGAAAAATTTGAAAAATGTACGAGAACGGACGAATCACTGACAGGGGTAAATACACTTGCACTATATTCATAAAAAAAATTTCTGAATAGCTCTACTTAATGTTTAAATTCACAAATATATTATTACAACTTAGTCCAAAAAAGCGTATTGAAAGTGAAATCTATTATGGAATAACAGTTTCACAGATGATATCGGATATGTTCCTTATGTCGTAACTACAATACCCTCCCTTTTCACGAATTTGACCTACCGAATTAGACTATTTACCGGATTTGTAATAACATAAGCAACACGACGGGTGTCACATGTGGAGCAGGATCTGCTTACCATTACAGGAGCACCTGAGATCACCCCCAGTTTTTGGTGGGATTCGTGTTGCTTAGTCTTTAGTTTTCTATGTTGTGTCATCTTTACTATTATTTGTCAGTTTGTCTTTTTATTTTTGGCCATGGCGTTGTCAGTTTGTTTTCGATCTGTGAGTTTGACTGTCCCTCTTGTATCTTTCGTCCCTCTTTTCTAAATTTAGAGAGTATACAAATTTGATTACACGTATTTTCAATTCACATGTTGCATGTACGTTAATATTACAGGATATGTTGCAGATACATATACTACATACCAGACAGGGTCGACAGTTGAAATAAATAAATATCACCTACAATTAGAAAGAGTAATGAAATGAAGAATATAGATCAAATTGAAGAAAAAAAAACTTTACAAACCAAATTAGATGGTTCATTTGATCGGGATCACTCATCTGATATCTATGCCAATAATTGAATAATGTTCATGTAAAATAGAGGACAATAATAATAAACCAACAACAACAAAAACAATGAGCTATGACATTTGAAAGTGACTCCAAACTGTAGAAATAACCGTTTGATTGATAATTCTCACATTAATATTGTTGAATAACTTATAACATAAATGTAATATCATATTTTGAAGCATCTGAATCCCAACAGTTGCAAAAAAAAACCAATTTTATGGTCCCTAATGAAATTTCAAAGTCTACAAAGGTTCCCAAAATCAAGCTTTCCAGAGAGTAAATTATTATTATGGTGCCACTAAGGATCTTAAATGTATCATTAAGAATTATTAGAAAAGAATAAAATCTGTATGTACTATTTAAATGCATGAAGCATTGTTATGTCTTTTAAAAACCATAAGTCAATAAAGACAGGAAAAATCATGTTCAAAATAGAAAAAAAGAACAATAGTTAACAAAACACTTCACAGAAATCTAAAAACACACAACGGTAGCCCCACTACAAAACAGGGTTGAAAATGATTCGCCTTATGGGCCAGCAGTTTTTCTGTGCCACTAGTTACACTATTTTGATGCTAAAATAAACAGTAATAAGCTGCATTTTGGTATGCTATAAATGATGAAAAGAAGATGGAATAATCATTGTGACTACAACCTTTTGACGTATCCTTTTTATAAACAGATCTTTAATTCTTTACATCCACTTCAGTTGGACAGGGAAGAACATATTCCTCATTGGCAATTAAACAACATCCCCTTATCTAAATAATGATAAGATAGTTTTACTTCTCTTTAACAACTAAATTGGCCTTGCTGTTTTCAAAAGGAAGATCTATTTACCTTTACTGTCGCGGAACATTTATAATGTTTGAATCCAACTAACAAATTGTGGTCAATTAATATGTTATTAGCAATAAATAGTCCCTTGTACATTAATTTCCTTTTCTGAAAAGTAAAAGAAAATAATAAGTTTCAATATGCAAATGGAATAATCAGTGAATTCGCATGAATTCAGACATGTCATTATTTGCAATTCTTTATTAAGTAACGTTAGTTATTTATATCTTATCCCAAAAAATTCACTGTTCACTGGAAAATGTCATTATTTTTATTCTGACTAGAATCGTATGATTAGTCCTGGTACTAGAATCCCAAAACTTACGATGATCAGTTATCCAAACGTTAAGCTTAAGGCTGTAATCGAATAATACATATTTTGTCGTTTTCATTTCTTTTTGAAAAACTGCCAATCCATCCTAAACCTTTCTTAAAGTAACTATTTAAAATAAAACAGATAAAACATTGACATAATGATTTATTGATTTGTGTCATTGGGTTGCTGTCTCA